GGAGGGCACAGAATGAGACGGATTCTTGCTTTCTGGATTAACTATTCAAATTCAATGGCCACTTGGTGGGATAACAGATTTCCATCTCTTTTTGTATTTACATAAAAAAAAAATCCCAATATTTACTGGATATATACATTAACACTATATACTATAAACCTGGAAGTGTTCTCTCTTCTAAATGTCTAATATCTATCACAGTCTTAGGCATGAGATAGATGCGTAATAAAAGTCAATGAAGGAATGAAAAGCCTAAATTATTGGAGTGGAATGGAAAGGAGATTTGAACATAAATATGCACTCTGTGTATATCCATGATTGTGTGTTTGTGTGTGCATGTGCACGCACTTTCAAAAAGTAAAGTGATACGTAAGCAGTGTTATAAGTACCCAGCACTTTAGGCCTCCAGGAGATTACTAGGAGATCTCTGACACTTTGTAGGAAAAGCCTTGGATAACTTATAGATACGCCCTCATATAAACTTGATTTTCGAGCATTTTACAAGCCAGTGTTTAGAAAGCACCAATTTAGATTCTTGGTGCCTTTTGCTGTGTTAGAGTTTCGTGATGCTACTTGCCCAGAATTAAGTTGTCAGATTCAAATGCGTTTAGAGCTTTGATAAGGCCAACAGAAAAAAACAATGAAAATGACACTATTTTTTTGTGCATATTAGCAAATGAGAGTTCAGTTTTGTCTTCATTATCAAGTACAAAATATGTTCGGCAGTTCGAATCCACCAGCCACTCCTTGGAAACCCAGTGGGACAGTTCTGCTCTGTCCTATAGGGTCACTGAGTCAGAACCAACTCAATGGCACCTAACAACAACAACAGCAACGTATACAGCATGTGGCCACCACACATCTGTCAGTTTTAAAATCAGGAAAGGTGTGAATTAGGGTTGTGTTCTCTCACCATACTTATTCAATCTGTATGCTGAACAAATAATCCGAGAAGCTGGACTATATGAAGAAGAACTTGGCATTAGGATTTGAGGAAGACTACCTTTGATATGCAGATGACACAGCTTTGCTTGCTGAAAGCAAAGAGGACTTGAAGCACTTACTGATGAAGAACAAAGACTACAGCCTTCAGTATGGATTACATCTAGACATAAAGGAAACAGAAATCCTCACTGCTGGACCAGTAAGCAACATCATGACAAACGGAGAAAATATTGAAGTTGTAAAGGATTTCATTTTACTTGGATCCACAATCAATGCCCGTGGAAGCGGGGGTCAGGAAATCAAACAACGTACTGCATTGGGCAAATCTGCTGCATAAGAACTCTTTAAAGTGTTGTAAAGCAAAGATGTCACTTTGAGGACTAAGGTGTGCCTGACCCAAGCCATGGTGTTTTCAATCACCTCATATGCATGCAAAAGCTGGACAGTGAGTAAGGAAGACCGACGAAGAATTGATCCCTTTGAATTGCGGTGCTGGCGAAGAATACTGAATATACCCTGGCCTGCCAGAAGAACAAACAAGTCTGTCTGGGAAGAAGTACAGTCAGAGTTCCCCTTGGAAGCAAGGATGGCAAGACTTTGTCTTACGTACTTTGGACATGTTGTCAGGAGGGACCAGAAGAAGGACAGCATGCTTGGTAATGTACAGGGTCAGTGAAAAAGAGGAAGGTCCTCAACAAGATGGATTGACATAGTGGCTGCAACGACGGGCTCAAACGCAACAACGACTGAGAGGATGGCGCAGGACCGTGCGGTGTTTCGTTGCATTGTATGTAACCTCACCATGAGTCGGAACCAACTCGATGGCACCTAACAACAACAACAGTATGTGGACTGAAGCTTACCTGAGCTGTCTGGGGAAATCAAAGATTTTCATGAAGAAAACTATGAATCTATTCATTAGTACAACTTGGTGTTTGTTGGTTGGACATTGAGTGTGCAATTAAAAGAAATTATGACATGATTTTTTTCCGGAGAATATTGTTGAAGTTTCAAGAAGCAGATATACATAACATTTTAGGTGAGTGCATTAAACAGTCTTCAGTAGGGATATCAGACACTGGTACATTCTCTTTGTAGGCATGGTAAGTGTTTTACAGATCACATTTACAATCACTGTAAGTGCTGAATTCATAATTGGAGATACAGAGAATGGACTCATAGTATTTGTGAACTGCACTGCCTGTGTCAGGAGAAGAAAGATCTCCTCAGCTGATCAAATCCTCACTTCTTTGGCAATCTCCAGGACTGGTCATCTCTGGCTAATATTCATAAATTGATATGTATCTGTGTTTTATATGGTTTTTTCTTTCGGTGGAGAATATTTAAGAATCACTTATAATGCCTGGATAATAAGCAATCATTTTACCATCTGGTTTGCTACAACCCTCAACATCTTTTATTTTCTCAAGATAGCCAGTTTTTCTAACTCTATTTTTCTCTACCTAAAGTGGAGAGTTAAGAAGGTTGTTTCATTGACATTGCTAATGGCCTTGGTCTTCTTGTTTTTTAATATTGCACTGATAAATACACATGTTAATGTCTGGATTACTGGGTATGAAAGAAACATGACTTACAGCTCCAGGAGAAGTAACTTTACACAATTTTCCCATCTTCCTATTTTGGCTACCACTATATTCACCTCTACATCTTTTACTGTGTCCCTGACAAAGTTTCTCTTCTCCCTGTGGAAACACTGCAAGAGGTCGGTGCTCCATGGCAAAGCACTCAGAGATCGCAGCACCGAGGCCCACAGAAGAGCCGTGCAAACTCCCATCTCCTTCCTTTCACTGCGTGCCTTTTTTTTTTTCTGTCTTTTTTTCATAGCTACTTGGAACTTTGATTTGCAGGAGAAAAGTGTGATTATTATGTTTTGTCAGGCTATTGGAATTTTGTATTTGTCGGGTCACTCATTTATATTGATTCTGGGAAACAGTAAGCTAAGACAAGCCTCTCTTTCAGTGCTGTAGCAGCTGAGGTGCAAGTTCAAAGACCAGGAACCGTCAGCTCTGTAAACTATTTAAGTGATTATCTTCCATATTCTAGAGGAAAATAAGCTGATAAGAAATTCTTATATGATAGTTTACACTTGTCAAATACTCTTTCATT